CCTTAACTGGCCAGATAGTTAATTCAGTTCAGTATCTGCTGTGCATAGACAGGTATGTATGGTTGTACATAATTCCTTATTTTTGCTCCTAAAAGTCAATCATTGTAAGTAACTAGTTATATACATTTAGTGCTAGCACACACACTTTTAGTTATAGTCTTTACAAAAAGAATAAGCTGTGCTTGAATTATGCTTCAAGCACTAACTTTGTGACCTTAGCTAAATCACATAAACCCCACATATCACTTTCCTTAGTCTTAAATAAAGACAACACACAGTGAGTGCTCAGGAAATACCAACTCCTCTTTACTCCCGTACATACTGCTCAGCCTGAATGTTGCATCTTCTGGGCCTTGCTCACTTTTGCCAATGCAGGACTTGCTACAAACACATGTGTTCATGAATGATCTGTCTTTTCAAAAACCTTCCTTATATGCCTATCACGCTGGTATTTTTTTAAGCTAGTCTGTCCCTGAAAATTCACAAGCTCATACCTGCCTGTTGAAACTATGTCCTTGCTTCACATTCTAACTCAAGATCTAACTGTGATAAAATATTTTTCACTCTCACTACCCACGTTGTTTTACACATCTACACTTGTGTCTGTCAACTTTGCAAACAGAATACACTTATATGTAAACCTCTTTCCCTAAACTGTGAACCTATAGAGTGCCAACCATTTACAATTAGTGTCAATGTGGAATTTTGTTCTCAACAGATAGTGGGTAAATTAAATGTTTTATCAAATAATGATCACTGCAACTGAATAGCAGATATGTCAACATTTCCTTTTAAACTGGAGTACATTTATCTCCATTACAGGGACTGTGTGGTCTAACCTTTGAAAACACTGTGCATAGCATTGAACCATGAAGTAAACATTTATTAATCAATTTTGAGGCCTTAGTGTATTTCATAATTTAAATTGGTATTCTGATCAAAAGAAAATAAGAAAATGGTGGAACAAAAGTTTTAGAGAAAAAGGGTAGGGAAAGAAGAAAGAAGGAAGTAACAAAAGGAAGATTCCTAGCCCTATAGCAACAAATATCCAGCAGGTGCTGAATTTTTTTTTTTTTTTCCAGAAAAGAAATAGAATGCTACAGCATAGTCAGTTTTGAGAAAAGGCTATCCAACAACAACAACAACAAATCATAGGCATGCTCAGATTGCACATGCACAGAAAAATGTTGGAGAGAAACCATTGAAATAGCTCACTGGTCCTCTTGTGTTGCTGCTTATCTGATTATCTGAGGTCAAGAGAACTGAGGACAACAAAGGAAATTAGGTCTTCCATAGTTCTCATTAAATGCTGGAGGAGTCTGACTACTGCTGAGCTGAGCACTTCAGCGGCTTTGGAAAAGGAAGTGTTGTTACTTATTTCACCACCTTCATTGTGCTGGAGGAAATAAGAAATAGCTCTGAGACTAATAATAACAGAAACGCATCCACAGCAGCAGAGCCCAGTTGCACTTCCTAAAGGCAGTATAAATAATTAAGTGTCTCTACAGGCAAGCCACTAGGAAAAAAGGAAAAAGAGCTGCAATTGCTGATGTGGTTTCACCCCAGTCCTGCCCATGTTTCTTAACAGGAAAGGGAGTTGTAATGCCAATAATAAAATCTTAGAGCTGGAAAGAACATTTATTTGTTCATTTACTCAGCCATTATTGGACACTTATGATAGATTAGTCGTTATGTTACCTACTGAGAACTTGGATATCACCCACTTCTATGTCTTCAGTCTTTGAGTGAAGAGCTATCTATATGGTGAGTCCAAAAGTGCACAAGAGGAAACCTGGCTTGTTCAAACCAAGGGCTATAACTTAGTTTCCTAACTCCCCAGCAAAAATAATTTCAATTAGGCTCCACTTGAACTCTTAAAAATGTGGCTTGTGAATTACTTGATGAATAAGTTTACTTTCTTGATTATATTAAGCACAAAAAGGAAGAGAAACACAATTACAATATTAAAATTGTTAAAGGCATCTCACCAAGGTGCTTCTTCTGAGAACTCCATGTCTCCATTGCTTATTTGAAACCTTTATTTTGCTTGGCCTCTGGGTCCCACTGCTTCTGGATTTTACCTCTTACCTACTGACTGCTCCTTCTTTTTTACTTTTTCTGTATGCTCTCCATCGTCCTGACCTCTTTAATTTGAATGCCTTAGGACTCAGCCCTTTGGCTTCTCTTTGCAATCAGTGCACACACCCTAGATTTACCCATCCAATGCCACAGCCTTAAATAACATCAATACTCTTCTGATGGCTCTCAAATTAATATATTTTGCTCTGACCTCCCTCTTTAATTCTACATGTAAATCAGAGTGTCTATTTGGCAGCCCCAGTGTGATGTTCCTCTAGAATCACAACCTTAACGTATGTAAAACAAACTCTTCTCACCCTACCCCTCATCAAAAAAATCTATTTTTTATATACCTACCCATTCAGGAAAAGGAAACCTTCTTCTTTCATTTGCTCAGGTAAAACACTCTGGGTAACCGGTTCCTCTAATTTCTCTATTTCCTATATTCAATCCATCGGCAAATTTTACAACTGTAACTTTGAAATAATACACACAGCATCCAATCACTTCTCTACAACTCTGTCGCTGCCGCTCTGGTCTAAGCACCATCATGTCTCACCTGGATTATTGTGACAGTCTTCTTAATGGTTTTTCTGCATTTCCTTTTTACTCCACTGCAGTCTATGCTTCTCAGAGCAGCCTAAGTCACTCCCCTGCTCAGAATGCTCCAATGCACACTACATTCCATCAAAGCCCTAACTATTGCTAAAATAACCCATTGTCACCTTTATTCCTGCTACCTCTCAAGTCACATGCCCTATCCCCTATGCCTTCTCCAACTGTCCCTCTGATGCAGCTATCAAGTCCCATGCTGTTCCTCAAACATAGTAAGCACACCCTCTCTTAGGGTATTTGCATTATCTATTCCCACTGCATGGAGGGCTTCATTTTTAGCTATGTAACCGCACGGTTTATCTTCACAGAGATCTTGGCTAACGCTAGTACCTTTTCACTCTATGGTCCTTTCCTCTGCTTTATTTTTCTCTTTGGTACCTTTCACCATCTGATCCATACTTTTTTGGTTTGTTTGTTTTCCCCTCAAGAACATAAGCACCATGAAAATAGGAATGTCACTTTATTTATTTATGTTTCCGTTTACGTAAGTGCATTGGCCCCAGAAATCTAGACTTCTAATTTTAGAGGCCATTTTTTCCCCTCCAGTTTCAAAAAAATTGCACTTCAAAATTGTAATACTTTGTGAAAAAAGGAAAACGATTAAAAATTATGGGTCTAGGGTCAAGGCAATGGTGGAAGATAAAAAGGAAAGATGTTACATTCATTGGGGAAAAAGGTTGGTCTTGAAGAAGAAAACAATGGGGATGTTGAATGAAGTAAAAAAACAACATTGGCCGGGCATGGTGGCTCATGCCTGTAATCCCAGCACTTTGGGAGGCAGAGTTGGGTGGATCACAAGGTCAGGAGTTTGAGACCAGCCTGACCAACATAATGAAACCTCGCCTCTACTGAAAATACAAAAATTAGCCAAGCATGGTGGTGCACGCCTGTAGTCCCAGCTACTCTAGGGGCTGTGCCAGGAGAATCGCTTGAACCCAGGAGGCAGAGATTGTGGTGGTGAGCTGAGATTGCGCCATCTCATTCCAGCCTGAGCAGCCAAGCAAGACTCCAATTCAAAAAAAAAAAAGTCTAGGAAAAAAGGACAATATTCCAACATAAATGTTAATATAATTATTTCCATGAGGCAGTAATTGGAATAATCAAGGGAAATGACTCAGAATGAATGCAGTCATGCCTGTGTGACACCATGGCTCATGCTTGCAATCCCAACTATTTGAGAGGCTGATAGAGGCGTTTGAGGCTGTAGTGAGCTATGATGGGACCACTGCATTCTAGCCTGAGCAACATCATGAGACTCCATCTCTTAAAAAAATAAATAAATGAAAATGACAAGGATAATTGGTTTACCACTTTTGATAAAATTCCCTGGGAATTTTCTTCTAATGACATTAAGTATACTAGAGTTACTCCTATTTGAAGGAATGATACAAAATTATTATTATTTATAGGCAACGTGATGGGAAAACTTGAGTCATCTGAAAACTATTAGAATCAACAAAAAACATTCAAGGCAGTAGCTTTGTAAAGAATAATTACCCAGTTCATTTTCTACACTTCAGCTATAACAAGATAAAAAATTTATGAATAAAGCTTAATTCTCATAATGATAAAAACTGATTTAAAGGAATACATAGTATTGTATTTACCAAAATAATTGTTTAGGAATTATATGGGGAAAATTACAAAGAGAAATTATGGCTTGAGAAAAATCTCATTAAAAACTCATATTGTAGAAAAGAAAAACTAAATATTGATATAATATCAGATCTCCTAAGGTTAATATACACATTAATGTATTTTCCCACAATGAGTCTGTAATTACCCTATAATGAATTTAAATACTTTAGAAATAGAAAAACTCATATCTAAATATTAGAAGTATTGAAGGCATTTGCAAGATTAGTCAACTGTTAACCATATGTCCCATGAATTGGTAGAATGAATAGCTTAACAAAAAATTATACAGGAAAAAATTGTGTAATAAAAATATCAGGGATAAATAAAAAATGAATCTTAACAACTGTACTTCAAACAAAGGAATTTTCTTCAGATAACATATTTTACTTTGAATACAGATTATTAGTGGCCACTGATAAAGAAACAGTTTATATTTCACATATATATTAGTCATCTGTGCTACAGTAATAAGCAGTCCATAATCTCAGTGGCTTATAACAAGGGTTTTGGTATGAATGTGTGCTCCTCTAAAATTTATATTGAAATGTAATACCCAAAGGTGTGGCCTTTGGGAAGTGATTATGTCATGAGGGCTTCACCTTCACGAATGGGGTTAGCATCATTTTATAAGGGCTGTATGTTAAAGGGAGCATGCTCTTGCCTTTCAGTCCCTTCCATCACATGAGGACACATTCTTCATCCCCTCCAGAGGATGCAGCAACAATGCATTATCTTAGAAAGAGACAGCAGCCTTTACCAGACACCATGCCTGTTGGTGCATTGATCTTGAACTTCCCAGCCTCCAGAACCATAAGTAAGAAATTTCTATTGTTTATCAATTAGTCGGTCTGAAATATTTTATTACAGAAGCATAAATAAATGAAGACAACAACAAATCCTTATTTCTCATGCAGGTTGCCTGTCAGTAGCTGCAGAATGGCTGCTATGGCTCTTCTCCATGGATCCAAGTTGAATGAGCAGACCCTCTTTGGAGAATGTCATTATCTGGAGGAGAACAAGAGTCTAGTGGGAAATTCCACTGCCTCTTAAAGCTTCAGCTCAGACTAACGTAGGCCTCATCTGCTTACATTTTGTTGGTCAAAGCAGGTCATAAGGCAAGCCCTAATACCTGAGTCAGGGATAAGTACTCCTTCCAGGGTGAGGGTGGACACTGCAGGTCACATGGCAAAGAGAGCAGATGTATAATTCTTTTACAAAGAAGATGAGGCAGAATGATTGGGGATAACGATATAGCCTACCACCGTATGTCTATCTGTCCTGTTTAAGATGGGAGTTAAGCTCTGTCAAAACATTTCTATAAAAATTTCCAAGAAGATGAGGGTAAAACCTCTTGTAAAAACATTTTGACTAGAAAGCTTTGTTTTATTTCCATAAATTTTGGCTCTATCATTTACTATTTTTGTCACTCTGGGTGTGTTACTCAAATTCTCTGAGCTTCAGTTTGCTTATCTCTAAAGCAGTGGTAAAAATGCTAGTCTTTCATGTTTGCAAAATGCCTAGAATTAAGGATATTAGTGTTTATCTCACTGCACTATTTTGAAAGAGCTGGTGTTACCCTGCCTTTGTAGCAGTTTTATATTTCAGAGGATATTGTCTGACTGTTTGGGCTTCCCCATCCCGAGTCTCTCTTTATAGTGCCTACTTTATTTTAGGAACTACACAATATTTTCACTACACAATATTTTCATTTCTAGAAATTGTACCACTGATCTGTTCTTATAAGTGTAAATATGCAAGGGTAAAAACTGTCTATTGCTATGTTGTCTTGCAATGGGTACCTAATAAGTCACAGGTTCCAGTGTTTCTTTACGGTGAAGGCTGGCCACCTCACAACCATCCTAGCTACAACTTCAAAGACTAAAATGATTGATTACTAATAATCTGTGTTAACAAAACAAAAATAACACAGAAAATAAAACGAAACAAAATGCTAAGTATTATGGCACAACCCTGCTAAAAACCTTCAATGACACTGATTTGCTTTCTTTCTTTTTTTTTTGAGACGGAGTCTCGCTCTATCGCCCAGGCTGGAGTGCAGTGGTGTGATCTCGGCTCACTGCAAGCTCCGCCTCCCGGGTTCACACCATTGTCCTGCCTCAGCCTCCCGAGTAGCTGGGACTGCAGGCGCCTGCCACCACACCCGGCTAATTTTTTGTATTTTTGGTAGAGACAGGGTTTCACTGGGTCAGCCAGGATGGTCTCGATCTCCTGACCTTGTGATCCGCCCACCTCAGCCACCCAAAGTGCTGGGATTACAGGCGTGAGCCACCGCGCCTGGCCCCTGTTTTGCTTTTAGACCACATAACCAGTTAGCATCTGGTCCCTATTTCATCACAGCCTGATAGATTCTCCCAGAAGACCCAAGACTTTTCTTACACAGAACTATATGCATGTATATTTCTTTGTGAGATTTTGTTTAATAATTTTTTCTCACTTGGCATTAAGCTATTTGAGGGCAGAAACTATCTCTGTTTTTATTTCTACACTGTGTTTTTGGCAAATAAAAAGCCTAACACATGGCACTCAGTAACTACTTACTGTCTGAGTGAACTCACAAGAGGTTAATTTCAAGCTTGGTAAACAAGCTTCTCTCTTGCTCTGTGCCTCACTTTTTTATCAAAGCATAGTCTGCCCTGAAAGGTTTGTTTTTACTAATCTATGTTATTTTTTAATGACCTGAACCCTACAGATACTTATTCATCTCATTGATTTATTAAATTTAACATATGCATATTGAGGGCAAAATGTGTTCTTGGTATAATAGGAAATAATGTATACTTTTTTTTCATTCTCTGCTCATTTAAAACCATTTAACTAGAATATGAAAGCAGTCATACGTACATGTGTAATTACATGAGTAATTATAGTGGGTTCCTTAGTGACACAGAAATGTATTTCTCTCTTGAAATACATAGAGGAAAATTAATATAGACAGGACAAAATGGAAGGGAGCAGCAATATTAAATAAGAGCAATTTCACAAGGTATTTTCCAGATAAGCATACATTATTGGCCTTGATTTATTTTAAGTGTATGTACTTTGAGGAAATTGAGATGAATATAGATGAAATGCTAAGCTAGCCAATGAATCTTTTAGAAAATGGAATTAGCAATGCTATGCAATCTGTCTTTAAAAATTATTAATCTTGGATGGCTTTCAGAGTTCATGGCTTGTGTAACTGCCTGTGATCTTTCCAGAAATCATTTATATGACCTTGGGTATATCCCTTTTTTTTGTTGTTGTGTCTTGGTTTCCATATTTTTAAGATTAGAAAGTTGAATGATCAATTAGATTTCTTCCAACTCCCTTATTCTTTACTTGTATTTTTCCCCCTTACATATTTTGAAAACTTATTTTGGCCTTCAGTGGCTTCTGTGACTCAACCTTCTTGTTCTGCTGGCATTGAGTCTAGACCCTGGCAGTGCTATGGGGAATGTGACATTGGTGTCACCTGAATGCTGACCAGTCCAGCTTTATTGGTGGCACTATGATGTATCATTCATCTTGGTCACAGAAATTAATGAGTTGAGGGCGTTTTCATAATCAGACTCATTCTAAAGTAGTTTAATCCAAGTTAAATGGTAAAGCTTTGTATTACTTCAGTCAGGCTTGGGGGTAAGTATATCCTGTTCAGTTGCCATACAGAATGAAACGTTGAAGGAAAGATGTTAAATGGTGATATGATATTTAGTCTATTGAAGTTATAATGAAAGTGGTAATAAGTAAGCATCATTGAACCAAAGAGTGTCACAGGGATCACTCAGCTACACCTTTGGGGAAATCTCAGGCTGCAGACAATGATGAGGCATCACACCACCTCCCATGAATGGTCTCCAGAAATGTGTGAAAATACCCTTTCTGGCAAGTGTGGAAGTGTGTGCCAACAGTGACGAGAGGCTGACTTCTCTACCTCTATTATACCTCTAAATCCAAGAATGCAGACCCTGAAAAGCTTCAAGAGAACTTAAATATTTCTTCAAGATGCCCCCAAGGACTCTATCCAAGACTTTTCATGTGCAGTAGTTCACGTAGCCTAAGGATACCTAGAGCATGGTGACTAAGAATGAGCTGAGGTTAGACTGCCTGGTTCCACAGTAGGGTAGGTTTACCGGTAATCAAAAGCACCGTGTAATCAAAAGCATTGATATTTTTACAGCAAAAACTTTCACAATAGGTGAAATAAAGATAAATGATAAACAACTTCATATAAACTCAGGCTTAGTTTTTCTGCCAAAAGGATTAGCAGCAAGCTAATACAAAACTAAACAAAAAAACACGCCAAAACAAGCAAGATGGAAAGCTCTTAAAACAAGCTGTGTCTTACATGAAATGCTGCATTGCAATAGCTCTTATCACTGTCATTACTTTTATTATTACAGAAATGGGGCTCCGAGAACTTAACCTCCTCCTGGGCACAAATCTTGTATGTGGCCAGCTAGAATCCATACTCACATCTCTTGGACTTCAAAGTTCACCTTCTTCTTACTGCATCACAAAGCTTTCCTTGTTCCAATTGCATTATCAGTGAAATGAAATTCAAATTCAAAACGATTCAGTTAGAATTTAGGTTTTCCTGTTTTGGAGGAGGGAGGACACCTGAATCTGTAAAGTAAGAGATATGTTCATTGGTTAATTTAATTAAAAACACTAGATACACAACAAAATCAATTACATTTTTGCATACTAACAATGAATGTGGAAAGCAAAATTATAAAGGTCATACAATTTATAAGCACTCCAAAGAAAATGACATACTTAGGAATAAACTTAAAACATTTACAGTCTTTATGCTGAAAATTATAAGATGTTAAATATATTAAGGAAGACCTAAATAAATTAAGAGCTATTGTGTCATGAACTGAGAAACCTAAACATGGTAAAGATGTCAATTCTCCACAAATTGATCCGTAGGTTTAGTGCAATTGTATACAAAATCATGCTTACTCTAAAATTCATATGGAAGGGCATATGCTTAAGGATAGCTTATAAACCATCCTGACAAAAAAGGCTGAAGTGGAAACAATCACTCTACTGAATATGAAGACCTACTATATGGCTATTGTCATTAGACTGGTTTTGGCAGAGGAACAGACACAAAGACCAAAGGAAGAGAACAGAGAACCTAGAAATAGATCCACACAAAGACACACAACTAATTTTTGACAGTCATGCAAAGGAAATTCAATGAAAGAAACACAGCCACTTCACAAATAGTGCTGGGGCAATTGGGCATCCACATAATAATAATAATCTACTCCTAAACATCCATTTATACAAAAATGAGCTCAAAATTCATCATGGAATTAAATGTAAAGACATAAAATTGTAAAACTTCAAAGAAAATAAATGAGAGAAATCTTTTGTATCTATGACTAGGCAAAGTTCTCAGATTTGACCAAAAGCATGATAGATAAAAAGAAAAATTAATAAGATGTTTTCATCAAAATTCAAAATTTTTCTTCAGCAAAAGCCAATATCAAAGAAATGAAAGACAAGCTGCAATTTAAGGGAACATATTTGCAAATCAAATAACCAACAAAAGACTAAGAGCTAAAATAAATTAAAAATTCTCAAAACTCAATGATAAAGAAAAACGAGCATTCAAATTAAATCATGAGCAAAGGACATGGAAAAGCATTTCACTGAAGACGATATACAGATAGCAAAAAAAGAAAGCACTTGAAAAGATTTTCAACGTCATTAGCCATTAATCACATGCAAATTAAAACCGAAATGAGTTATTACTCTACATCTATAAGAATAAAGTAAAAAACATTGACAACACCAAATGATGAAGAGGGTGTGGAGAAACAGGATCAGTCATACTCTACCAGTGGGAGTCCCAAATGTTATAGCCCCTCTGGAAAACATTTCTGTAGTTTCTTATGTAACTTCTGTAGTTTTTTATGTCACTAAGCATGCAACTACCATACATCCCAACAACTGCATTCGTGAGCATTTATCCCAGAGAAATTAAAAATGTGGTCACACAAAAGCTTGTCCATGAATGTTCACAGAAGATTTTTCCTTAATTGTCAAAAATTGGAAACAAGCCACCCAGATGTCTTTCAGACAATGAATGGTTGAACAAACTGTGGTAAACCTATACCATGGAATACTAATTACCAATAAAAAGTACAAACTATTAATGCAGCGACTTTGATGGATTCCAGGGGTTTATGCTAAGTTTAAAAAAGCCCATCCCAAAAGTTCACAAACTGTGTAAATCCACTTATATAGTCATCTCAAAATGACAAATATAGAAATGGAGAGCATACTGGTCTTCACCAGGGCTCAGGAATTGGGGAAGGCAGGGTGGAGGTGACAGCAGCTATAAAAAGGCAACATAAGAATATTGTGGTGGTGGAACTTTTCTGTTGTAGGTGATGGAACTTTTCTGTTGTAGTGACTATAAATTTCAGTTCCTGATTGTGATATTGTACTATAGTTTTATAACATTATTTCTTGCAACTGCATGTGAATCATAATAATCTCAGAATTAAACGTTTAATTAAAAACTACTATATACTGGATATTGTCTTCTCTCCCAAACACTTAGATTTAAAATAATGTACTTTTTGAAAGTCTTAATCAATTTATTCTTCTTTTTAAATTAAACTTTCCTATTATAATTGTAAATGGAAACAATTAATACAATAGAAGGAAAGGATTTAAAACAATGCCTTTTAGTATCACATTTCAGCAGTCATCTCATTCACTTTCTTGTGTATTTCCCAGAATACACACACTCTTACTTACGTACATCAAACATATACACAGAATAATTCATATTTGCATCTCACTTTTTGATGGCCACCTGGTATTAAGTGCCTTGTATGCCCCGTGATTTAATTTATTGTTCCTGTTTTGATCAACATCCTTTTTCTTCAGTTGCATTTTATTTTATTATTTTATTTTATTTTTTAGTATTATTATCCTTTACTAGTTGTTATATGAATCTGTGATGTGTCAAAATTTATAAAACACTCCAAAACATCAATTTTATATAAATAAAATAAAATATAACTTAAAAATGCAACGTTGAATCATCTTGTAGTTTCACCTTTTTTATACTTGTGAAACTTCTCTGTAGAGTAAATTTGTGGAAAAAGAATTCTTGGAAAATTAATTTGTACATTTTTAGTTTTGATGGTGGACCTCAAAATTTAACCTTCAAAAAAGGTAAACCAAGTTACTTTCCCACAAAACTGTAGAAGACCTAGAATGAACATCTTCAAAAGCTTCTGTATTCGAGGCAGAGGGCTAAGGATTTTAGGGAAGTGTTGCATAGTAACTATTTTCTTCTCTGACTCTGCTAATAGATAACATGTAGGTGGACTACAGATTAAGCCTCATACATCATCAGTGACTAATGGGAGAAGAAAGATAGCTGATTATCGGTCACACAAATACACATTGTGCATTTGATCACTATAAAAACATTGAAAACTGAATAATTTTATTTCCATTTATTATAAACTGAACTATGCACCTTCTCCTCACCCCACCAAATTCATATGTTGAAGCACCAACCCTTAATGTGACTGTGTTTGGAGGGCATTTAAAGAGGTAATTAAAAATAAATGAGATTATAAGGATGGGGCTGAAATCCAATATTACCAATGTCATTATAAGAAGAGAAAGAAACACCAATGACCTCCCTCTCTTCACCTACACACTGATGAAATACTATGTGAGAAGATAATGAGAAGCAGGCCATATGCAAGCCTAGAATAAATCCCTCACCATCAACCAAATCTGCCAACACCTTGTTCATGGACTTCTAGCTTCCAAAGCTGTGACAAACTGCATTTCTGTTGCTTAAGTCACACCCAGTTTTTGATATTTTGATATGGTCACCCTAGATGACTAATATACCATTCTAAACTTGACAAAAGTGAGATCTAGAAATATTGAAACTTAAGTGGGTATACCCTTCTAGGTTTCTTTTTTTAAGTTAAGATCAAAAGGAAGATGGTACAGTAGGAAGCACAGGACTCTCTCTTTCCACCAAGACAACAATCACACTGGCAGAATCTGTCTGATATAACTACTTGGGAAATTTGTAGTTTATTGAAAGCTTGCAACTTCCAAGGGAAGCCTTGGACAGTAAGTTGTGTTAGCTTCATTCAGTTTCCACTCAGCACAGTGGCAGCTATGCCTCCCCCACCCACGCCCATTCTGGTGGCAGGCAGCTGTGCACAGATTTCTGGAGCAGCTTGCACACACATTGCAGGGGCCAGGGTGGGCAAAGAGGGCCCTATTCTCCAAATGCTCAAGATCTGTGCTCAAATTGCTGACTGCTGCTTCTGATCAAAGGGGTGCAGATACCGAGGCAGGCAGCCATTGTTGCCTTTCCTGCTCCAACTAAAATTACTTCCAGGGGATTAAAAGAGCCAGCACCTCTTTCCCATCTTCATTTTTCTTTTTATCTCTTTTTGGGAACCAGGCATTAAAAATTAGGACATTAAGAAACAACTGCATATAGAGGAGAAGTTAGGAAGTGATTATGCATGCTCAGGGAAAGGTTCAGGCTCAGAAAAGTACTGAAAAGGCATTAGATTTACTCCTCACACTGGCCATTGGCAAAGCCTACAATAATCAAAAAATAAATGAGAAGAATTACAAAATCCAGCAAATCCTGGGAAAGGGGAAGAATCTAACTTTCAGAGTTTTCATACTATGAGATTCAGGTGCTCAGTTTTCAAAAAAAATTAAAATGTACAAAAGTAACGAGGAAAGTATACTCCATTAAAAAAAAAGCACACACACACACACACACAATTAAACAGCAACAACAACAAAAAATTCAATAGAAACTGCCTCTGGAAAATCCTCACGGTACATCTACTAGACGCAAATTTTAAAACACCTGTCTTAAAAATTCTCACAGAACTAAAGGAATACATAAAGTCAACAAAATAATGTATGAACAAAATAGAAATTTTAGTTCTATACCTAAAAACCTAAAAAGCAACAAAACCTAAAAAGCAACAAAAAATACATTTTTGAGATGAAAATTACAGTAACTAAAATGAAAAATTTGCTAAAGAAATTTAAAGGTAGATTTGAGCAGGCAGATGAAATAATCAGCTCACTTGATGAAAGGACAATGGAAATTATTGAGTCTGAAGTATAAAAAGATAAAGATGATGATAAGTAAACAAAGCCTAGGGGACATATGGGACACCATCAAGTAGACTAACACACACGTTGTGGGAATCCCAGAATAAGAAGAGATTAAAAAAAAAAAGGGAAGAGAAAATATTATTTTAAATAATGGTAAAAAAAAAAAAAAAACTTCCTACATTTGATAACAGACATGAATATAAACATCTAAGAAGTTCAAGTTCAACAGATTCCATGTAGATGACCTTAAAGAAACCCACATCAAGACACAGTATAGCCAAACTTCCAAAACACAAAACCAAAGAATATTGAAAGCAGCAAGAGAGAAGTAGTTTGTCACATACAAGGGATCCTCAATAAGATCATCAGTAGATTTCTCATCAGAAACTCCAGAGGCCAGAAGGCAGTCAGTCAATATACTCAAAGTGGTGGCCAAATTATCCTTTATAAGTGAGGGAGAAATTAAGGCA